CTTTACAAATCTTGATGACTGAGAATTTGTTGACACAATCTGTTTGCTCAACATTCTTGGGTTTTTTTTGGTCTCTTCATATCCCGAAACACTTGCAAGTCTCTCTTTTCTCATCGTGCCCATAATTTCACTTTATATAATAAGAGTTTTACTGGTGCATTTTGAAAGGCTAAAGTGCAGATACCTGACTCATTAGGGTTTCCAAGTAGAATTTAGAGAGCTATGGGAGAGAATAGAAGAGAAAATGGGGGAAAGAGAGAAGAACAATGGAAAAAGAATGCGGAGAGGGAGAATGCAGAAGAACAACAGAGGGAATTGGAAGTTCTGGATAATTCTCATTATCTCGTTCTGTTGCCTAACAACCTATTAATAGTGCCAATAGTTAGTAGCAAGTAAGGACAACAGTACAATACAGCTGGGTGTCAGTGGTCCTTAGGAATAATCTAGCATATTTGAGCAAAATAGAAACAGGACATAGGGAAATAACTAATGATATAACTAACAGAAATAGAAAATAGGTAGCCTCTTGTTACCCTAGCAGATTAAGCCTTGACATTACCCTCCTCTTGAAGATTGACCTTGTCCTCAAGGTTTAAGTGAGGAAACTGACTTTGTAAGAACTTTTTGTTTTCGAGTGTATAACTGGTGTTGTTGCAAGATTTTAAACATTTACCCAAGGTGCTGTAAGTGTTGCTCCATCCACTTGTTATATACTAAGATATCGTCAAAAAAGACTGGCACGTATTTTCTTAAACATGGTTCAAATATGTGATTCATGAGGGACTGAAAAGTGATAGCAGCATTGGTAAGGCCAAAAGGCATTACCTTGAATTTTGTACTGCCCGTTGTGAGCTCTAATGCAGTTTTGTTAGTGTTTCCAGGTCATACATGTATTTAATGGTTACCCAACTCTCAAGTCAATCTTAGAAAAGATGGAATCCTCATGTATACATCATCAACCATAGTATGGGGTACTTGTTTTTAACTGTTATGGCATTGAGTTGCCTATAGTCAACACAAAATCTCCATGATCTGTCATTCTTTTCCTCTAACAGAACAGGGATGTAAATGGGCTATGACTATGCTGTATAATATGGCTATCTAGCATTTGTGCAATTTGTTTCTCAATTTCAGCTCCTTGAAAGTAAGGATACTTGAAGGCCTTGCATTCGCGGGTGTAACTTTGAGAATCAGGGGAATAGAGTGATCTTGATCCCTTCTTGGCTGCTGGATCCTTGATTCTTCAAAAACTTGTTAGTGTTCCCTTATAAGGGTATATAGGGTTTCTGCTATTGCTAATGATTCTGCTGGACTCTCTATTAGTGGAGGTTGAGATTTAACAGAGTATATGGTACCAAGTGCACCTTGGTGAGCCTTCTGCATTAACTTTTCAAGACTTTCTCCTGTTATTCCTTTTTTTAGGCTCTTCTTTCCCCTCACTCCTTGTATCACCCTTGCATCCCCTACTTGGGTCTCCATTACCTGCACTTTATCATAGTCAAAGAAAACCAGTTTATATTTCTGCATCTGATCTGTGCCCAAAATGATGTCATATATTCCGAGTCTACTACTCAGAAAAAGCTTCTGAACCATAGTTTTTATATCTTACTGTTCAGTTCTGCTGTCTAGTAGTTACTTTTCATGGACTGGCCATTTTCCACCAGTACCTTGAGTGGAAACGATTCAACTAGTGGGATGGCACAACGTTCAGCCAACCTGGAATCCAGGAAGGTGTGTGTATCCTCACTAACAGTCAGGATCAATGCCGGTTTGAAGTTGATGTTTCCCCATACTTAAGTGGTGCTGCCACCCTCTTGCCCATTTAAAGCATGCAGGAATATTTACACTAATATCTGTACATAGCATGTTTGTTTCCTCCTTTAATTCTTTTTTAGTAGCACAAATGACTTTGATTTGTCTAAATCTACTTAGATAACTTGCTAATATAACAGATATGCCTATCCACCACCAGATGGAAATATTCTGACCAACATTGTCAATGCTCTTATAGCTGTTCCCCGCTTTTACACCCAGGTTATCTTTCATCACATGAAGCTTGAGTAGTTACTTTTTAGTATGTGTGTGTACTTGTCTGCAATATTTGATTCTAGTGTAATCAACCAGTGTGTGTATGTGGGTCTGCAATAATTCATTCTAGGGAATCAATTGTTGGCCTTTGAATTTTAGGTGTTGCACCTGATGAACAAAATGAATATTCCAGCTCCATTTCGTATGGCTCTACCCACACCACCTCTGCCACCTTCAGCACCTGCACCACTCTCTCCTCCACCACCGCCTTCAAAACCTAACATGGCAGATCTATCTAGTGGTGAGTCAGAGATGGAGTCTTCAGATGAGGTAAGTTCTTGCTACTAAGTTGCTGAAATTCACAAGACATATATATTCCTTTTTCACCTAGCTAGACTTGCATTAAAAGTATTGATCTGTTTAGATTCTGTAAAATAGAGCTGGAAGCAGGTGGAATTTTTGTTTGATTTCATTCACTGGATTCAATACAATGTTCTTTTGGAATTTTGATCGCTACTTTCTGTTTCTCTCTCTCTCTCTCTCTCTTCTCTGTCTTTCTTTTCATCCTCTGTTGCCTTTACTTTTTTCTTTCCTTCTGCAACCCCTGAATCCTCTACCATGGTTCTGGGAAATTAATTGTTTTATGATAATGTTTTCAGGAGGTTGACGGTGAAGATCATTCTCTTCGAGTAGTGAAACCTGGAAGAAAGCGTGCGAGGCCAGAAGTTATTTTAGGCCCTGCAGTTGATAAAGATGTGGTTCATGAGGCTGTTGGAGTGAAGTCAGTCACCTTGATGCCGAAAGAAATACCAGTTATAAAGAAGAAGAATCCTGTAGTACAGGTAAAATTCTTGTGTCCAAGAATGATTTTGGAAGATTTCTATTGTTAGTCCTTGACATTCCTTCCCTGGTTCCATGCAGATAAAAATTTCCCACAAAGTGACACAGGTTGAACATAAAGATGAAAGTGGTCACAAAGAAAATGTGGAGGAGCCCAACAAAGAGAACTCAGACCTTAAAGCATTTGTAACTCAAGCGGAACTAGAGAGTGGAAAGTTACCTCCGGAGGAAATTCTCTCGCTTCCTATGTTTAAGGTATTGGAACCCACATAAAGTAGATGCTTGCAAGGGTGCATGAATATGCAGATATCAACAAAATTTAATGAATATGTAAGCCTAATATTTCAAAAAAAAAAGTAAGCCTAATTTTTGTTGTGACTAAGAAGGTGTTTAGTTTGGCATCTTATAGGCTATAGAATTTATAAGAAGATCAAAAGCTTCTTGTGGGTGGTATATCTAGACAGTAATGTCATGATCACATAAAATACATTCTCTTAAGACTCCCCTTCAAACTAAAGAACATATATTGTCTATCCCAAGCTTGCCAACAATAGTCCGGAACTCTGAACTACTCAAATCTTTAGTCAATACATCTGGTAGCTGTGAAGTAGTAGGCATATATAGAGTACATTTTAGGCTACTATCAAATTTCTCTTTGATAGAATATTTGTCAACCTCGATATACTCGGTCTAGTCATATTATACCGGATTGTGTAATATTTATGATTGACTTATTGTCACAATATAGACGTGTAGGCTTCTCCCACTTGATTTTTTGATCTTATAAATTTTTTTTATCCATAATAGTTCACATACCGCTTAGGTCATTACTCGAAATTTTGGTTTTGTATTTAATGTAGCCTAAATTTTGCTTATTACTCCTCTAGATAACTATTAGAATTATTGCTTATGGCTTGGACTTGAGAGAGCAAAAGAGAGAAAACAGAGAGGAAAAGGAAGAGCTTTTATTGAGGTAAATGCTTAAGTGTTCAATTATTACATTGTGTAGAAGAATGGTCTATTTATAGGTTGTAAGTGATGGGGATGAATGCCAAGCTGGTGAAAACCGCACCGATCTTGTGACTTGCGGCGGTGATCTCGTGATCGTCTTCATCAGTTATGGTTTGATTTGGTCAAACCTTGTAACGTCTCGTTTTTTTTTTCCAACGGCATAGTCTCAAACAGTTCAATGGCCAAATACTAAAATGTCATTCTAAATCAGTCGCACACAGAGAAAAGAAACTATCACAACCTACTGCTCAATGTCAAATATAAATCTTCAACCATAAACGCATCATTACAATGAAGTACA